GGTGAAGGAAAACGCGGTGATGAAACTTGCGTATTTTCGAATAAATAACAAAAAAAATGTTTTTAACGATATGTGCAGTGTACCAATCCCTTTATACAGAGGAGGATTTTATCCAGCTGTGGGCTTGTCACTTTTTACACGTATTCATTCGTTTCAATCACTAGAGCTTAAACCAGTAACATCATCGTCGTGTGATATTTCTTGTATGCCTTTTATAATAGACATAAATATGGGATGAGTTCTGTTGTCATATTACAACTAAGGAAAATTTTTAAAAGATTATTCGAAAATATTTATTAAATTATCATGCGTTAAACACAATTTACCCCACGATTCAACTTGAAACTTCACAATTTATAACGTAAAAATTTTGAATCGCTTAAAAATTAAACGAAAAGCTAACATAACGCCATTGGCGACCATGCAAGCGGCGACAAAAAAAGTCTTTTGAATTCCGACGATATTGGATTTTCGAAATTGAAATTAATTTCAACGAGCCCGGAAGCACGGAGCTTTGTGTTTGAAATCCTATTAAAAGACTTCCGAGTTAAATCTGTTATCTAGAATTCAGGTCATGGGCTTATTTATGGCACGACTAAATGTATTATCGTCACAAATATCGATTAAGGGATTTAATTTATTTATAATCGATTTTATTAATCGTAAATTATTTTTAAATCCACAGTCGATTTATGAAATTTTTATAAGTTATATTTCCCAGTGGTAATGTTAGGTTATTAGGGATCTTTGAAAAAAATCATTTGAATGTATTTTTGCAGGTATAACTTTTAAAGCAGTAAAACGTAATTAGGAAATTGAAATGGTTGTATAGTATTTCATATTTAAATTGTTCAAATGTATGTATAACGGCGAAAGTGATATTTACCTTTACACATGACAACTTTATGTTGCGTTTACTTGACAGTGGAACGATTGAGAGCTTTGTCTCTGTACATCAGGCTGAAGGTTGTAATGTAGAGAGTAGCAGCAGCTTCTACTCTTTAATGAGTAGTTCATCCTGAAAGACCTTGAACATCCCAAACACGTTATTACGGGCGCGTTCTTCTTCGATGTCGTGAAGATATTAGACGAGTTCTGGTACAATGACTTGCGCTACAAGCTGTATGCATTTCGCTCTTGTACAATCGCTCCTTTATCTACAGTGTAGAAGACACTTTCTCAAAGGCCACTCCAACTCCTTAATGAACTATAAGTCGTCCGAAGTAATCCCCATCAGCGTATTTTCAATCGGTATAACAATTGTAGACCACCGATGCTATCGCATCTCTGTGCAGTACGCCAGTCGTCCACTGTATGCGGTGGCTGGGGGCGATGAGAACCGCACTGGAACGTGGGTGTAAATTGTGTATGCATTGTACTGGTTTCGCCGTGCTCGTAGGACGAACTAATCGGTGTTTTTTTTATGTGAAATGTTGCCAAACGAGCAGACGGTTCACCTGATGGTAAGTGAATACCGCCGCCCGTGGACATCTGCTACACCCGAGGGTGACAGATGCGTTGAAAACCTTTTGAAAATTTGGTTTCGGCTACCTCACTCACCAGACGAAACACGAAAGTATTTGTAATACTTCCACTTTACGCTGGTCTTCTGTGAGGTCGTGGTACTTACCCTGACGGGCCTGCCCATTCGTGCAACAGCCGAGGCTGCTGCGTGGCCCTACCAAAGTATGTGTGATACCACTATGTATATATATAACGGTCAGAAACGGGTCATTAAGTGGCAGGCCACCCCATGCCTGTCGCCCGAGTTCTAAATATGCGGGGGGAAAGGTTGCGCGCGTAGGCTAGTCTCTGGCGGCGGACATCCGGGATTGCAGTTGGATACCTGAGCTTTTCCGTGGCCTTCCAGGTGATTATGTCGCACGTCCTCTCGATGTCTAACATAGCGCGAACCACGGCAGGTACTGAGAGGACTTGACCGATGATAACGCTCTGCTCTGGGCACTGCCCCGTCTAGGCCAGGCACTCCTCTAAAAAAGTCCCACGATGTGTGGGAGACGTTTTTAAACGGTCGTGTTTATGTCGGGTTTGTAATTCTCTGCGTTGGGCAGAAGAGGGTTGGAATGGTTTTCGGAACATTCGATGAACCGTTCAGTTAACTCTTTGAAGTGTCGGCATATCACCGCGAGTCCACAATCGCCATATATTTCAACGTTGCGCTGATACCACCTCGTACGGGCTACGGGGCACTGACTTAATTTTGAGTAAGCTCTTTCTAAGCACTTATCTAGATTATGTCTCTCATCGCGTTCAGGAAGCTGGTCGATTTTTTACTATTTACTGTTAAAGTTTATGCTGAAAACTGATATCTATATATAGCTAGTAACGCATATTGGTCTATTTCAACGCTGCGTGTATTTCAAATGATTTTACGTCTTGTTTGATACTTAGAGGTTGCGCAGTTTTAAGGCTTGACAACAAGACCGTAAACACATCATAAAACGTCGTTACCCCAAGGTAAGGCCGTAACCTTTATTACACATTGTCCTTACAATGTACGACCATAAGCTCTAATTTTTGACTCAAGTAAAGTTACTTTACTTACCCGTTTATGTGTCACGTTCCTTGAAATGAGTGACTAAATTATGTATGCACTATATATTCTTTAATATTTAAATATATTTTACGTGCATTTCAATGAAGTACAGCCTGCTAATTAAGTAGTAGCCACTGGTTACTTTTTTACCTTCACAGTAGAACAATTTTTCTTTTGCCTTTATCCATTGCAATTTCGCATGCACGTAGAAGTATGTCTAACTATATAACAAAAACCCAAAACTTATATTTTTATAACTTGTTCTTTGGATTCATTGGCGCAAATAGATAGTTAAGATTTTTAGTAGACTTGTGTAGAGAAAATTTGTGTACTCTTTTTAGATATAATTGATAAAGAAATTTTTGAAAATCTCTATACACATCCATTAGTTTCTTTGTTGATATTGGCTAATGTTAGTTATATTATCAAATTAGAATGAAACGAGAGCAAAATTTATGTTATTCTACATAGGTAATAAATATTAACAGACTACACAAGTACCTATTAAGTAAACCTGCAAGCTAAACTCCCTTCCACTTAATTTTAAAGTTCCCGGCTTTGCGTCAAGTTACTTCTTTTAAGTCTCGATGATCCTTTAACTTTTTTCACAAACTCGTTCTCGAGTTCCTATACATTTTATACGTGTTTTTTACTTATACTTATTTTCAACTTAAGTAACAAATCGTTAAAGAAAAAATCAAATACATCCGCTTAAAACTTTTTTCCCCTATCTACATCATTTGGTTCACAATTAGGATACAAAACTCACTTGTCCGATTCAAAGTAGACCTACTTTGAAATAAACAAATATCTGTGTGAGTACTGATCAACGCTTTCATTGGTTGTTGCCAGAAGAAATCTCTGCTAATAAGTACGGCTTTAGATATCATTTGGCGACTGATAATTGTGTACATAACGTTGCCAGTAATTATAGATAGATAAATATGGTATAGGATGTATGGAATTAAGGAATTGAATATATTCTGGGTTAAAATTTGTAGATTAACTGTCGAAAAATTCTTTACAGAATTTTAATTCTAAGTTTAGTTTCCTCTTTATTTTTCACTGCCATGTTTAATTATAATTCACGTTCTAATTAAATGTTCTCAAGCCTCCGATCTTAGAAAACAAAGCGGCACATTGGATCGATAGAACAAGTAACAATTAGGTAAATTAATTAGGAGCGATGTAGTAAACTCCGTTTGATATCGTGCGACATTTTATTGCTCGGATTGAAAGTTTGGACCCGGCCCCTTTGAAAGCAAATATCAATTAAAATATGTTAAACATGTAATTACTGAAGTTCAGTGGAATTCACATGTTTCATTAAATGTTGATGTGAATGAAAAATAAAATAAAGTTTAAATTATATATATTGTAGAATAATTTTATTTCAATTATAAGCTTACAATTATTTTGCTTTTATACTTATAGTAAGTATTTTTAAATTGTTGCACTTTTGGGATCCGGTTTGGGTCTGGTTTTGAATTTGAATAGGTTTTTGGTTTCGAATATTTAACACCATTAGTGCCAACGGAATAGGCAGAGTTGATTATTCCATACTGGTATATTCAGTGGAGGAACAAAATCAAATTTATTAACTGACGCTGACGGAGACTTCCTAATTCTCTAATGGACTCCGACATCCTCATTATGTCTGGTTATGAGAGAAACGGAACGGGAAAAGGCCGCCGAAGAATGTGAATTAAAGTGCATTCGTGTTTTCTTTCATGGTGCATACATAGCGTGGGTACAACACGTTGCACGAAATTGTGTCAAGGTTCCGTTCGCGTTATTCTTGCGTCGACTTCGGCTACGGTCGGGTTGGATTAATTCATTTGTTTTTATATACCCTATTCGCCCAACTCACCTATTTTCTATTTAAATTTTCATTAGCGCTTCTATTCTATGAGAGGATGCGAGAATCGAAGCGCATCTATTTACTTTGTAGAAAATGCAGGAGATCTTTCTCTTGTCACGAATGCATTCGCTTTCAGTCTGTAGACTTTGTAAGGCTTAAGTGGAAAGCCTTTGGAAAGCTTACAGTTTGCATGAGGTGGACGGAACACCAAAACGAAAATGCCTTCTAAACATTTACATTGAATTTATTATTTCATCTTTTGTATTTAATTTTTTTTTACTAACAGTTGCATTCTGCTGGTGTGGAAATATGTTTTACAAGCACTTTTTAGTCATTGAGAATATATGGACAGGAATTGACATAAATATATGGTACCTATGGTACCTATAATAGGCACTAATACTGAAGTAAATTTAGCAAGTACGCCGAAAATGTTGAAAGGAGTCGTCAGTATCGGCAGAAAAAAATTTCATCTAAAACATTTGTTTAGTATTTCGCAGAAAACAAATTGAATCTAAAACATTTCTGTTTTATTTTACATAAATAAAATTATAATTAGGCCGTTAACTCTTTGAGTAACTATCCATCAATAAGTCCCTTCAATAAGACTCCACTGTCGATTACCAAAGATGAACCCGTGATACCCCGCGCTTTATCGCTCGCTAAATAAAGCACTAAATCGGCCACTTCACTTGGTTCGATTATTTTGTTGAGCAGTGTTCCTCTCAATAGTGTGTCCCGCAATTGTTCTTGCTGCTCTGCTGTGAGGCCCACAGCCTCCATGAAATTAGTCTTAACCGGGCCGGGGTTAACTGAATTTACTCTCACTCCGTAAGGTTCTAATTCAAGTGCGGCGCATTTAGTGAACTGATCAAGACCGGCTTTAGACGTGCAGTACTGAGAGTTAACTCTGAAACAAATACTTGAGGACCCAATGCTTGATATGTTAATGATATTGCCCTTCGTTTCAAGCAAATGCGGCAAAGAGAGGTGCGAAATAAGCATAACTGCGCGGAGGTTAACTTTCATTATTTTGTCGAATACCGTGATGGCCCCTTCAGAAAGTATGCTCTCGGCACCAGCTACTCCCGCGTTATTAATCACAATATCCAACTTTCCAAAGTGTTCTATTATAATTGTAAAAACTCTTTTGACATCAGCGTCAACGGTCACATCGGCCACAATTACCAAAGGATTGCCACCAGCTTCACTGCACTTTTGAGCAACGCCATTCATTTTAATCTCATTCCTACCAACTAGCACGACGCTAGCACTTTCCGAACTAAACTTAACGGATATTTCAGCTCCAATTCCAGAGCCGGCGCCGGTCACAAGAACTACTTTTTCACTAAAACTCATTCTAGCCACTATTTTCACGTAACTGTAGGGTACGATGAAAGATCTTTTGAGTTTATTTGAAGCAAATAACTAAAGTGATTCCCTAGTTTAAATCGATTTAGTTGCACCAGCGAATAGTAACAACCGACTGCGTTGAATATTCTCTAACAAATAATGTTTCTTGGGGTGGAGCTTGAACATTGAGAAACCATGACAATTTTATCTCACTCTAAGACTTTAAATCTTATTAATTAAAAACTCATAACTATGTCATGATATGTCGGCAGGATTGTTTGTTTCATGACCAAGGGCAAAGGTTATCTATTCAAGAAGATAATTCTAAATAGCGGTATCACCGCGAAAATTAGGACTTTCAGATATATTTTGCTATAAGCCCGAACACGATATCTCATTAGAGATAGTGTCTTCCAAGATAAATGACAAATAAATATTTATTCTTCTAAATAATAATTGAATGATCTATTTATAAATAATTATTTCTTGATTAATTTTAAAATTTTAAGACCGCTTGAAATTACATTATATTGGTTTAAGAAAATGAAATAAAAATTTTCAGTTAAATTTAAATATCTTGTTCTATGGCATGTGAGGAGGAGAAATGAACAAGTAAATAATCAAAAACTAGATATGTACAAGACAGACTAGACGAACGGTACAGTAACATTCGCAACATATATAAAAACGGAAAATAAAAATCATGTCTGCGAGCCCCACTTAAATATTTTTTATTCAGTTTTTTAGTATTTGTTGTTATAGCGACAACAGACATACATCATCTGTGAAAATTTCAACTATCTATGTATTATGGTTCATAAGATACAGCTCGGTGACAAACGGACAGACAGATAGACAGACAGCGGGGTCTTCGTATATAGTTCCGTTTTACCCTTTGGGTACGGGAACCCTAAAAATGCAAAAAACATTTTAAAACAAAAAATTTCCCGGCAAAATCATCATCGTTTACATTTTCTTATAAAAATAAAATCAGTAGCACTCGCGCAATGAAAACGACTCTTAAAATTTATCTCTAATATAATCTCATTTAACAAAATTTCTTGAAGCGGTGTTTACCGACGCCAATATAATATATAATCGATTCCTTTTAAACTGAAGATGTTTAAGCATGTAAAAGAAGCTTTAAAAGAGTGGCCCATATGATTTAATAAGTACGTGCCTCGGTGCCATATTTGTGGTGTCCAATGTTTAAGTTGTACATACGTATCATTGGTGCACATATAAGAACATAATATAATGTTACTAGCTGACATGGCAAACGTTGTTTTGCCATATAACTTATTTAAAGGGTAGAAAAAAATGTTGTGGAAACCCTTAACATTTAGGGGGATGAAAAATAGATGTTGTCCGATTCTCCACCCTGGCTGATATGCACACAAAATTTCACGGAAATCTGTCGAACCATTTCGGAGGAGTTCAATTACAAACACCGTGACACGAGAATTTTATATATTAGATACCACTTAATTTTTAATATGTATACTGTATACGTTTTTTAACGCTCTTTTAATTTTTTCAACTTACAATGAGCTGGCTTATGAAGTCGCAGTTCTCAAATTGCTTCAAAATCCTATGCTGTGTATATTTTTAAAATCTGGCAACATTTATTTACTTTATCACGAAAAATATACATTGCGTATAGGCAGACTTAATGTCTACGGCGTCCACAATATTCTGTCTAGGGATTACTTTCTGTTCCCTAACCCCAAAAAAGATTTTCGAGGTTAGATTATTAGCATTTCCCTAACGATGAAGAGTTAAATTCGTGAATATTTTGCAGACAAAGAAGAAAAATATTTTTAGAGGGTATTGAAAAGTTAATTTCTTTCTTAAATAAGTATATTGAGGTGATGGGGGACTAAAATGAAAAAAAAAAAATCTGCTTATCTTTCTATCCCTCGTTAGAGCAGGAGTTTCATAGAGATTTTTTATCCTTTCATGTAGCTTGCATATGATTATTGTGTTATGCAAAATAGATATATATATAGACATCAACATTTTGATAGAAGATAACTTATTGTATTTAATGTTAAGAATACTTTCAACGCCTTCTTGTAAAAAATAGCAAAATATAATCTTCGAGCGATTCTATAATATATAAGTCTTTACGAAATTACATTGGACATGAAAGTCTATGACTCACGATTTTATTTGTTAATTTAAAACAAAAAGTCTTTTTAAATTTGTCACTATTACTCGTTTGCCCCTAGTAAAAAATAAGAATGTGTTGTTCATAAATTACTTTTCACTTGAGTTATCATAAAATAATGTTATAAATTACCTTATTGACTGTTACTATCGTTTCCTGAAGGGTTAGAAACATCGAACTTTTTCTCAGAAATGTTTTCTTAGCGATTAAGTTCCTCGGAGATGTTTTGTTGCTTTAACTGGCGGAAGTCAATTTCCTGCTTTTTCCTTGAAAGATATAAAAAGTGAATCGGCTGCAAAAATGAAAACCCGATATGAGTTATAACGTAATTTCGCTCATGTATTAAGTAATATGATAGTATCATTACCGTTCGATATAAGAACTTTTGTATAAAAAAGAATTTAAGATGTAATGAAAAAGAAGAACAACATTTTCACTGTGGTAGTGCTAGGCTCTTGTAGTACAGCTCTCTGTTGCACGAACGGGCAGTCTCGTCCGGGGAAATACGTGTGCCACGTTTTCATATAATACCAGTATGAAATAGAAATATTATACTTTGGCGTTTCGTTTAGTGTGTGTGGTAGTCGGGACCAACTTAATTCAAGAGTCGGCAACGCAGCTGCAACCCCTGAGGTGTTGTCGATATCCAGGGACAGCGGTCATCAATTATTATAGGGTAAACCACCTAGACACAAAAACAAACACACCACAAACAACAAACGGCCAGGTACGTCCGAGGAAGAAGAAGATCGGCTTGAAGCGGAAGTACTTCTGCGTTTCGTCTGGTGTATGTGGTAAGCAGGGCCCACTTAGTTATAAGGTGACAACGTATTTGCGACCCCACGGGTGTTGCTTATATCCTTGGGCGGCGGTTATAGCTTAACATCAGGTGAACCACCACTTCGTTGGCACTTTCACACGTAAAAAAAATACTTACCATCTTTTCACATGAAAATAACACATTCATACCTGTTACCGTTAAATAATAAGTTTTTTACTTCTTTCCTTAGTATTTTTTGCTTTGTATGTGAATAAATCTTCCTTATGACATTTTTCGCTGTATATTCTTTTTCAATTCACGCAAAAGTCAATTAACAAATTAATGGAATTTGTTTACTGTTAATTTATATATTTATGTTTTATGCTCAAATACAGAAGAAGTAAAGAATTTGTAAAGTCAATTAACAAATTAATGGAATTTGTTTACTGTTAATTTATATATTTATGTTTTATGCTCAAATACAGAAGAAGTAAAGAATTTGTAAAAAGTCGCAAGGAACCACGCTGACGAAATGTATTATTCGTAAGATAGGTAAATATGGATTCTTCTTCTCTACATTAAAGTCTTCAATTTTCGTGTATCGCTGTTCATCTCCTGACCTGTCACTACAAGTCAATAAGGTTTATTTCATTTTCCTCTCAACAATGTCAATATTGACGCCAAATAGCTTTTCAGGCTCCCACCGTTCTGGAATAAAACTTGTTAAGGAGTCATTGTTGCTAGTTCTTCTTCCAGACATGTATTAACATGTATTATCTATGTTAAAATTGGTATTAGCAGTGCATAATTAATAATTTTTCGCAAAGTATTGTATTTAGCCTAACGTTTATTTTGCTCTGAACTGAAAAATTAAAAAGTTGCGATATAATTTCAACAATATTTATAGATTATATCGCGTTTCATTTTCAATTTGTTTCCCGAATTTCGAACAATCTGCAGCATTTATGGTCACGGTTAATCAGGCTATTCAATATTTGTTCAGCTAAAAGCTTTTGTTAAATAAAATTATTAAATAGTTTTGTAAAGAATTCTTTTGATTTACATATATCATGAACAAATTACATGTTCGGAACATTTTTAGAATGCGAAACTCAGAGTAGTCATTTGAACGATATTGCTAATTCATGTTAACGTTTATGATTAACGGTTTTTGTTTTAAATACACATTGAAAATCTTTGTCTTTAGATTTGTCTTAAAGATTCGTCTTCATCATGCTGAACTAATTGGATACAGCGTCTTAGAGATTTATTCAGTTCGGTCCCCGATTTATTAAGAAAGCAACTCATTACCGTAGGCCACTCGAACACTGTGTATACATACGTGAAAGGACGCTCCAAGTTATTAAGCTGCTTCTTAAAAGTGCAACCCGCGAAACCCTTTATGAAGAAGTCTCATATCTCGAGGCATGCTTTTAAAACCCATGCCGTAAGAACTGAATACGTCCTCTGCTATTTTCTTAGAGCCCGTACGTCCGGGCATTCAAGGCACGACAGACGACAAAAGGGAACTTAAAACGCTGGTAAAATATGTAAAATGAAAAACGAAAGACCGACTCCATAGAAGAAAAGTGGTATGGGGGAAACTTTCAATTTATTTTCTTTATGCCACAGACAAAGAAGTAATTAGAACCTTATTAATTTAACAATGAAGTATCTTAAGTAAGTATCATAAATAAATACACTTTCACGTCTACCGCAAATTCAATGATATCAGCTAAAGAAATGATTTCTTTGAGTCACTATTAATAATAATTTTTGAGTGACTTTTAATTTCAATTGGTTGCAAAAAAACTATAAATGATTCATTTATTTATTAATTTATTTAAACTTTGTGCACAAAAAAATTACAAAGGCTAATATTTAAATCAATACACGCGAGTACGCGTGTCATATAATGAAACGTGATTACGTCTTCATCCCCTATGAGTTTGCAGATATGTCACTAACCTTCTAAAAGGACCAGGTCCGAAAACATCATTCACCAGATAAGACGCAAAAGGATGTGTGACACCTCGCACTTGTGTTTAGAGAGGCTGTAATAAGTCCTTCAGCCTG